ATTATTCTTGACAATGGGAGACATGCCCTCCACAGCAGTAAACCTAGGTGCCTATATCACTTTTGACACCATAAAACTATAAACAAGGCCAGCACGCCCTGCCTCTCAACTTGTATGTTGAAAGAAAAAAAGAACTTTCTATCACATCTAAGCTTTAATTTTATACTTATTTCATTAAGTATATTCAAATCTAATCTTAAAATAAGCGTATAAGGTATCCATTATTTCTCAACTTTCCTCCAATAACAATGGAATACAGATGAGAAAACAATGAAAGTGGACTGAATGTTCAGCTGTTCTGCGGAGAGTTGTGAGGGAAACATTTTAATATGAAATTCCTAGTGGGTCTCCATAACATAGTAAGGATTTCTTACACATTTTCATGATGAAGAAATTGAAATTGAGGTTCTGCAGGATTAAGCAATAAAGAAATTGAGGTTCTACAGGATTAAGCAATAAATTCAAGATCACAGAGCTGATCTTGACAAAATTCAAAGAAATGGAACTGAAATCAAGTTGTTTGGATACACATGCCTGACCTTTTCATTATACTACAATAAGCTCAGAAATAATCTCTGCTGAATACTATTATGCATGATTATTGAGCATAATAGAGGAAATATAAAACAAAGCACATACTAAAAAGAAACTTCAAAATGAAACATGTTTTTTTAAAGTGAGACAAAATATGATATTCAATGAGCAAAACACACAGTACAGATGTCACATTAGTGGATGTGACTGACACATTAAAACAGATTTGATCTGTTATAAAAGCTAAGACACAGTGATGACTTTAACTGGTCATGCTATTTTGTTTTGTCTTCCTTTCCTGGCTTTTTCTAATCTATAACAATGTTCTTGCTATGAAATCATTAATCCACTTAATAAAGTTGCCAGAAAGGAGAGGGTGCATCACAAAATACCACTCTCAAAAAAACTTGAATACAGTGGGCGTCATTCTCCAGAGGCCAGTCAGGTTTGGGCCTGCAGTGACGAGACATTTTCGGCCTCACAGGATGGGGGTGGAGCCGGTCCTGTCTTCCCCACCCCAAAGAGACTCCAAGTCATCGCCCATGAACGGCCTCTCTGGCTCCTAATCAAGCTGCTTAATGACCATGATCCCAGAGACTCAGAAACAAATCTTGAAACCCAGTGGCTTTTGGCATAAATGTGTCTAGTCCCCACAGTAGGTTACTGTCCCCAGGCTACCCCAGGGGGTAAAGGGTGCTGTCCCTCTGCCTGCTCCCCCTTGGTGGCTCGGTGGCCACCATCCTCCAGTGGCCATTGGACAGTCAGGCTTGGGCCCGCAGTGACGACATTTTGGGCCTCACGGGATGGGGGTGGAGCTGGTCCTGTCCTCCCTACCCCAACGAGACCCCAATTCATCGCCCATGAATGGCTTTTCTTGCTCCTGATCAAGCTGCTTAACGGCCATTATCCCAGAGACTCAGGAGCAAATCTTGGAACTCAGCAGGTTTTGGCAGAAATCTCTCCAGATTTAAATATTAAAATTTCAAAATCTCACGGCCACTACTGGAGCCACGTGACATCATATGTTATTCATAACCAGCAATAGAAAACCAATTGTCTACTTTTCAGCAATCTGAGTGTTGGGGTAAAATCTCAAATAATAATGGTGGGTCTGGTGTCAAAATATTGAATGTGATCAAAGCAGAGAGAGAGTAATGTGGAAATCATCTGCCCCACAGGTAGGGGGAGGGTGTGGGATGGGGATATACTGGGATTGTTGGGGGTGGATAATGGGCACTGGTGAAGGTATGGGTGTTTCATTGTATGACCGAGACTTAGACCTGAAAGTTTTGTAACTGCTCTCACGGTGATTCAATAAATAAAATTATAAAAAATGAAAAAAAAATAAGGTGGAGTTCATGCACAATTCAATCAGCTAATCAGTGGCTGAATAAATAGCAGTACTCTCACATAAAAAAAACTTCAATAAAAAATAAATAAGATTCACTGAAGTGTTTATGCCAAATGATGTAATAAGGTATAGACAATGAACATATCAATGACTAAGAAAAAAAAACTGAAATAGTTATTAAGAACTGACTTATCAATGAAGACATAAATTCCCTGATGAACTCTCCAATATTCTTCCTCAGGACTTTTTTACCTTATCCATAGATTTTTGGTGGGTGTTGTTCCCACCAAAAAAAAAAGTATGCCATTTCGAGACCACTGATCTAAAATAAGTGTAAGTACAATTAAAGCATGTAAGAAATGAAAATAAGTGTGATCCCCTCATTGCAGTAAGAAGGAAAAGGGAAGAGAAAAGAAAATTAATCCCATTATTTTATGACAAATACTGTAAATTTGGAATGGTATACAAAAAAGAGACAGACTTAAAAAAAAAAAAGGAGATAGGACACAGTATTAACAAGCAAAGTAACTCCAAAAAAGTAATGTTAAGTCTGAAATAATGACTTTTGGAAGTCAATTCAAACACATTCTCTGATTTGAGGATTTGGTTAAAGAAATTGGGCACGCTGCGCCTCTGGCCAGAACTCAACAACTTGGGACTAAGTTTCCAGAGAAATTAAACAGCCAAAAGTTAGGTATGTGGGAATCATGCCCACAAACCAACTCTGGATCAGCTATACAACCTTGTTTATCAGCCTTGCTTCAGAGATCCATAAATAAATCTTGAAAGAGATCAAAATCAGGCTATTTAAGTGCATTTTTTAAACAGCCATGACTCAGATACTCACGAATGAGTCTCAAAAGAGAGCAGTATACTGCAGAGATGCCCCCCCCCCCACTCCGCACCCAGCTGATTTCACTGGGGCACCTTGGAGGGGGCCAGGTATGCCCCTCTACCTGTCCCAAATGAACCACAGCAGTCACAAACCTCTAGAAACTAATTGCCTCAACGGTCAAGGCAGACCTTCACAGGTTCATCTTGAAACCCCCAGGCATGAGAATGAATCTCCTAAAATACTCAGGTATGCAGGAAACCAGCAAATGAAAACTCCAGGCTTCAAGGAGTCAGGGATGGGTGGCCTGTCCCCATCTCCCTGCCCTTCCGGTTTCCTGGCAATCAAGCCCAAGAAGTGCCTCTGGGCATCATTTAAGCACATGATTCAGAGACTCACAAATGAATCTCAGAAGAGAGCAGAATGCCACAAATATTTTTAAAAAATCTTATAATTCCAGGAGCACTCGCCGCTTTTGTGGCCACACATCTCATATTATTCATAGCAAACAATACAAAATAAATTATTTAGCATCTGCCTAGGGGGCAGGCTTCGGTAGTAGAGGGAAAATTTGAAATAATGGTGGTGGGAAGGTGTAGTGGTAGTGGGATTGGTGTTGAAATGTTGAATGTAAAGAATTATTGTGAACAACTTTATGAAAATCACTGTCATCCCATTGTTCATCGGTTTGCCTGAGCTGGCACCAGCAATGTCTCCATTCGTCCCAGCCCTGAGATTTTAGCAGCCTCTCCTTACTCATCTTTCCCAACGCTGCCATATTGGAGGCTCTTTCAGGGTCAGGGGAATGAGACTTGTTATTGTTACTGTTTTTGGCATATTGAATATGCCACGGGGAGCTTGCCAGTATCTACCATGCTTTATGAAAATAAAATATAAAATATTCTAAAAAGTAAAAAAAAAAATAAAGAAATTGGGCACATTTTATACAAGTATTTAATAATCTGCGATGTAGAATCTCCTGCTCCCATACCAGGCTGTCTTTACCGAGGGCCCCTCAGAGTGGAGTGGGTTGAGTTTCCCTCCCTGACCCAAGGAGAACCCCAGCAGCTGAAAACCTCCAGAACCCAGCCACAGCCATGCTCAAGGCCATTCTCCACAAGCTTGGACAAGCCTCATGCATGAAGGAACCGGCAAAGGAACCTAGGTGTGCTGACCCGGGGCTGAGATCTCCAAGTTGGCTTGGATCGGGACTGGGCCTCCTCCATCTAACTCCCCCATTTTCCAGTAGCTTGGTTGTCACACCCATAAACTGCCCTCCCCAGACTGCTCCAGTGCCATCTAATCCCTTCAATGGCCATGATCCAGAGACTATAAAACAAAGCTCCCAGAACCGACCTCTTATAACCTAGCCCACTGATGTTCTCTGTCCCTCTCAGAGAGCCCGGAAAGCTACCGAGAGTATCCCGCCCACATAGCAGAGCCTGGCAAGCTCCCTATGGTGTATTTGGTATGCTAAAAATAGTAACAATAATGAGTCTCATTCCCCTTACCCTGAAAGAGCCTCCAATATGGCACCATTGGGAAGGACGAATAAGGAGAGGCTGCTAAAATCTCAGGGCTGGGACGAATGGAGATGTTACTGGCACCCGCTCGAGCAAATTGATGAACAACAGGATGACAGTGATACAGCGATACAGTGATTTAATAATCAAAGATTACAGGCAAGTTATACCAGGATGGGAAATCTAGGTCTAAGTAAGTTAGACTGAATCAGATTGAAGACGATACCATAAATTATACAAATACCAAATAATTCAGCCTTATTAACAGAGTTTCTGGTTTGGAAATGTAATGGAGGGTCTGAGAAAGATGGAGGAAAGACCATCCGTTCCAATCAAAGAGAAGATAATTTATGTTTATGCATATAGTTGTACGGTGGGGGAGTAGGGAAGAAGCAGAGCTAATATGCTAATGAGCAATGAGTGGGTACTGTTAATTGCATCACTGCCCTAAAACACAAAAGACGTAATTCAGCATGATCTATATACATTGCACTAGACTATCAAAATTATTTATATCTTCAAAATTTAAAAAACCCTTTGCAATAAGTTCCTTATTTACATTAACTTTGAAAATGGGAGGTTGAGTAGAGAACATTATGTCTGACCCAGGAAAAGAATCTCAATTCTGTGCTCAGGGCATGGACACCTTAGCTCTCAGTTCTCGTTTGTCAGAACGGTCTGTTCTGACAAAATCAAGCGCATCTGAAGAATGCCATGGCAACCACAGAATTATCAGTGAGTCACGTTGTCCTATACTTACCAATCGGTAGAGCTCAGTAATGCTGATGTCCTCTGGATCCACCATGGCATACTCTTTCCTAGGGACCAGGTCAAGACCCAGTTGTCTAGAATACAAAAATGTAAGAAGAAAAGTCATCTCAATGGAATATATGAGCCATTTTTAAAGAAATACCTTGAAATTAGACAAACCATTTCCTGGCCTTCACCTGCCTCCACTTCTCTCACCCATATTTTAAGATCTTATATGATTTGTTGTTGCAGTTAGAGCAGCCAAAGGAACCAGGCTGGACACTGGACATATGTTGACAAATTAAAAATATAAATGACAGACAAAATGAATTAAGATGGAGCAGATTAACATGTTAGTTCTCAGGGAGTGTTTCTACCAGAGGTGGGGCGAAGGGAGCTTGTTTCTTTATGGGGAGAACCTTTGGGATCATTTATTTATTTATTTATGTTTCTTTCGCCCCTCTTAGAGAGCCCAGCAAGCTATCAAGAGTATTGCGCCTGCACGGCAAAGCCTGGTAAGCTATCTGTGACGTATTCGCTATGCCAAAAACAGTAACAAATCTCACAATTTGTTGTGAGATGCTATTGGTGCCCGCTTGAGCAAATTGATGAACAACAGGACAGTGCTACAGTGCTATATTTATTTTTCTTAATTATTTTTTTAATTGAATCACCATGTCACCATGAGATACAGTTACAAAGCTTTCATGGTTTTCCTTTCTTTTTTTTTTTTTATTTTTTTGGGTCACACCCAGCGATGCTCAGGTCTTACCACTGGATCTACATTCAGGAATTACTCCTGGTGGTGCTTGGGGGACCATATAGGATGCCGGGAATTGAACCCTGGTCAGTTGCGTGCAAGGCAAACACCCTATCTGGTGTACTATTGTTCTGGCCCCAGTTTTAGTGATTTTAAGTCATACAATGTTCCAACACCCATCCCTCCACCACTGTACATTTCCTGTCACCAATCAATGCCTCCTTTCTTCCTCCTGCAACCCCCTACACACACCCCATCCTACCCATACTTTTCTTCTCTCTCTCTCCTTTTAGGCATTATTTTTTGCAATACAGATACTGAGAGGCCATGAAGTTTGATCATTTGCCCACTTTCAGCACACATGTTCAATTTGGAGCAATTCCTTTGGGATCCTTTAGATCACAAAAGAGATCTATCCACATTGGACTGGGATGGAAATCAGAAGTAGACATGGGGAAATGAAAACTTGCTCTTAAAGATTTTACCTGGCCCACAAATTCCTATTCATGTCTGAAGCTAACATGTTATTTGTATGAAACTCTTGCAACATGTACAAGGTTTTCATTCATTTACGGTGGAATCTGGATGCAGTCATATGGTTGGAGAGAAGGCAGGATTAAGAAAGGTGGGAAGGCAGTAAAGTAAGTTAAGACATGGGAAAGACTCTGTGGAAATATAGTTGTAGGGTGTCAAAACAGCTAATCTCTTATGTCAGGTTTCATTGTGGTTAAAGTGAGACATATTCTCAGGCTCCGGGCCATGTTGAGAAGTAGAAATGTGAAATCCACCTTAAAATAACCGAGTAGGTGATGTTTTATCACGGACAGTGGAAAATGAATAGAATCCTGCCAGTTCCTCTCCAGCAATATTTGTGATACAGTTCTCTGCAAGGCACCCACTTCATCCACTGCTAACAATGCTACAGAATCCAATTCATCTCTTTCATCATCTACAACCATCCCAAACTCTTCAAAATATCTCTGTAATTCCCTAAAGAAGAACACTATCTCTTTACTCTTTACCAAAACCTTTTCAACGACCACACTCCACATACCAGGTTTAATTCTCCAAGGTTAATCTGTTCCAAACCCTTTCATATCATCACTCTCTCCAACATTAAAATTGTATGTCAAGTGTGGAACCTCAGCTATTTTATTTTGAATTTTAAACATCTTGAAGCTGTGTGCTACCAAAAACCCTGTGAAAGTTTCCCTAAATAAAATTTATTGATTCAGCACAGTCTTCAAGCCAGGTACTGCCCCAACTACCCTGAAGGATATTTGCTCTTAAGATTAGAAGACCGAGGCCTTCTTAATGTAGGAGCTGACATTTAAGTAACTAAAACAGTTCCTTGTTTTTCTTTAATAATCTTTCTCTTTAAGGAACCAAAAGAATCACACTCCTTTCATTTTTGTTGAAATTATAACAAACACTGTGATTTTTATTGAGTGCTTTCACTTTCTCTGTCTTTCTCTGTCTCTGTCTCTGTCTTTCTCTCTGTCTCTCTGTCTCTGTCTCTGTCTCTCTCTTTCTCTCCCTCCCTCCCACACCCCCCACCCCAGGAAGACCACACCAGATACCAGGCAATGCTCATGCTCAAGGGATACTTTCAGTTCCATGCTTTGGGGTTGCTTCCAGTGGTGCACAGAGGACCATGTGGGGCCATAGATCAAATCAGGGTAGGCCATACACAAGGTAAGCAAATGAGCCTCTGTATTCTCTTCCTGCCTCTGACTTGTATTAAAGTAGCCTAGGTAACTCTATCATGGACTAGAAGGTATCCTCTCAAAATTTATACTGAGATGCTAATCCCAGTATGGACTGTATTTGAAGAAAAAGACTACAAGAAGGCAATAAGGATCAAGATAAAATCATATGAGGGCCTAAATCCAATGGATCTGATAGCTTTATAATAATAAGAGAGAATTTTCTCCTCTCCTTCCCTCCTCTTCCCTTCTCTCTCTCTCTCTCTCTCTCTCTCTCTCTCTCTCTCTCTCTCTCTCTCTCTCTCTCTCTCTCCTTATAGAAGACCACATTGAGAACTCTGAAAGTCAGTTAGAAAGTTCTCACCAGAAACTGAATTTCCTGGTAATTTGATTATAGACTTCCAGCCTCTAGAACTGTGATAACATGGTAGTATTTTTGCTACAGCATCTGGAGTCAACACATACAACTTTCTTGCTGCACTTCATCTAGCATTCTGCTAGGGTCTGCTCTCTACTCTCCATCTCCTCACAAGAGAGGTCTCAGTGCAAGAAATTGCGTGGAACTGGGTCAACACTGCAGAGAAAAGACTGTCCAGCACAAGGGCTTTTCAACTTCTATTACAACTGAGGACAGGCAGCAATTCATGGACCAGAAATTGAAAACCACAGATCAAGCAAAAAAGGAAAGATATGTAACCACAGGCTAGTTAACATACCCACAGCTCCTTCTACCACAAATTCATCTACCCACACCCTCTGCTGACAGAGATGGGGCAGGAGCAGTAGTCAGTGACTCACTCTTCTTAAACTAAATCCAATTGGTTCACAGGTAGGCACTTGACCTAAGTATAAATCATCCAGGATTTGCCAGTAGTTTCTGAGTGCCTAGTCTAAAGTGTCCATCTAAATATGACTGATAAAAGGGATCTGTCAGTGAGAGTCTTTCTTGGAGAAATTGAACCTGGAAATTCAGTCAGCATCAATCACATGGCACAAGAAGAAAGTACACATGAAGGGCAACCGGTCACTGCAGAACAAGAGGGCAAGAATGGATTCTAACTGCAGGTGTTCTGCATTAGATGTGGGATCCAGAACCATCTTGGGTCGCAGGATTCTATAATCCTGAAGTTTCTTTTTTTTTTTTTTTTGCTTTTGGGTCACACCTGGCGTTGCTCAGGGGTTACTCCTGGCTCATGCACTCAGGAATTACTCCTGGCGGTGCTCGGGAGACCATACGGGATGCTGGGAATCGAACCTGGGTCGGCCATGTTGGCTGCGTGCAAGGCAAATGCCCTACCCACTGTGCTATTGCTCCAGCCCCAATCCTGAAGTTTTTTTTTATCTCATAGGACTTAGTTATTGAATTTGTGCTGACTACCTGGAGTCCTCCACATGTGAAGAGAATTCTCTAGGTTCCTATTTTGTTTTGTAAACTCAAGATATACCTCCTACTGTGTGAGATTTTGTAGAATCGACTTCCCATTGTTTGAGACAGTGCTTAATAAAATGATTAAGAAATAAGGGAAATAAAGAAGGGAGAAGAGCCAAAGAGAGTTTAGAGGATACTGGAAGTCAATGAAGGTACATGTGGGTCAAATTTTAAATCTTCCCAGTCACTTAACTGCTCTGTGACATCAGGCAGAAAGATCAACTGATTCCCCTTGTAGACAATCTTAGCAGGAAGGAGACTAGAACATGGAGCATTGTTGAAACTGCCTAAGGAGAATGCTTCCAGGAAGAATACTTTTTTTATGGCCCCAGTAGAGAACAAGGATAATCTCCTCCTTCTAAACAAAGAGCTTCTCTCTACCATTCTGCAGCAGTTTGACACACAATTTTAAAATGAACATATTTTAAATTTACATTTCTCTGGAGATCTACATGTGGACAGATCTATTTCTCGGGAGATCTATATGCTGACAGATTATTTTGTAGGACAACTTGATCTAATCTCATATCGAAGACACTGTCTGGATTCCCTTTCCAATTAGCACTATTCAACATGATGTAAAACAATTTCCATTTAAAGGACTAAGGAAAATGCACACTCTATACTCAAAGTCAATTTTAAATAAGAGGCCAAAATTCAAAGAGAACAGAGTGAAACTCAGAAAAGCTATGCATTTGAGGATGATCTAAATAAAATATATTGCTCATTTTCATGCATCAGTGTTTTACCAAATTACTAAATTAGACAAATCACTCTCCAAAGTACAAAGCTAGAACTCATGTGAGTCAAAATCGAGTCATGATTCAGTCATAATTAGTGTTTTTCCTAGATATGTCCGTCCTCATTCCTTCTGTTCTCATCTTCCCTACTAAAACTGAGAAAGCATCATCTTTTTTGCCTTTTCTGTAGGTCTAAGTTATTTTTGGTAAACTAACTTTATCTAATTCTGTTCCTATTTACAAATCATTCTCTTACACTTGGGTCAGCACAATGAACAGTTAATATAATTTAGCAAAAAATTAAAAGGAAGATAATAAATAAGAAAGGCAGCATAAGTCAACTTTCAAAAGCCTTTTAGATCTCTCAGATGGGAAGATACAATGAAGTGGCTGGCACATTTTATCCACACTTGTTTTTAATTCCTCACAGGAAGTGATTCTTTTTTTCTTTTTTTGGAAGGGGGGGTGGGTACCACACTCAAAGGTGCACAGAGCTTACTCCTAGTTCTGCACTCAGGGATTGCTTCTGGAAGGATCTAGGGTGCTGGTGCTCAAAATCAGAGCAAATGTATGCAACTAATTTCATGGGCCCTCTCTGAACCCATGAAATTAATTTTATTTTTATAGAGATAAATCAATTATAAGAACTTTCCCAATCACTTGGAAAAGCATGAGTGGTGGCAGCACATGATGCTGAAGAAAACCCAGAGTTACAGTGGGTGCGTTGGAGGTTTAAAATGTGTTAGCAGGTTCATGCTCACTTGTAAAACAAAAGAGTTGGCAGGAATTAAAACCAGGTTTTGATTAATCAACTTCCATTGGTTAAAAAGAGCAACACCCTGACAGTTTCAAGTTGAATTTCTCAGAGTAAGAAGCAAATTTATCCACATTGTATCTTCTGTCTTTTTTTTCCTCTCTTTTCTGTCTGCTTCTCAAAAATTCTGGTACCTAAATCCCTTGAAAATCCAAATAGAAAATGGAGATTTGGAGAGAGGAAGGCAGAAAAGATCTGACCATATAAAGGATTGAGGGATACTGTGACTTCTTTAAACTTTACTGAATCGCTACAAGCTTAGGATCACAACCATAGCAGGTTTGTATTAATTTTTTCTCCACATAATAACATTCCTTAGTTCAATGTCAGGTGTCAAAAATCGGATGAACTGGACACATAATGAGATTTGGAGATGACTGCTGGACTAGAGCCATTACCAACTGGATTCCACGGGACGTCAAAAGACCGTGTGGCCGCCCACCTACAAGATGGTCAGGCTTCTTCGTCAAGACCTTGAATGATTGGTTTGAGGCTCTTCTTGTTCCTAGAATGAGCAGACACCATTGGGCTACACCAGCACACGAAAGGGACACATGGAGACATTACTGGCGCCAGCTCGAGCAAATCAATGAGTAACGGGATGTCAAGTGATCAAGTGATCAAGTTCAATATCCACCTTGATCAGAGGCTTAACTGATGCTGTACTCATAATTTAAATGTAAATGCATTTAAATGAAAATCTCAATCCTAGGAGGGGCCTAAGAGAGAGTGCAACAGACACATGGTTTTCACTTGGAGAGTAAGATTCATTAACACCAAATAACCCCCCAGTCCCTATCAAGAGAGATTCCCTAAGCACTAAGTGGGAGACCACTGTAGACTGTCTATAGCACTGTCCTCTCATTGTTCATCAATTTGCTCAAGCAGGCACCAGTAACGTGTCCATTGAGAGACTTGTCACTGTTTTTGGCATATCAAATACACCACAGAGAGCTTGCTAGGCTCTGCCGTTTGAACGCAATACTCTCAGTAGCTTGCCGGACTCTCTGAGAGGGATGGAGGAATTGAACCCTGGTCAGCTACGTGCAGGGCAAAAGCCCTACCCACTTGATACAAACAAACTAAATCTCTGTAGAGCAGAGGAGATGGCTCAGCATGCTGGCATGCACGTGGGAGCCAAAGGTATGATCCCCAACACCACATAGTCCTCAAGCACCAATGGGAGCAAATGACAAGCCCTTGACTGCAGCTGCCCCTGTACACTGCTAGATGTGGCACCAAAACTAAAAATAAATTAGAAAATATTAACATCCATCTTGGTCAAGAATAGTTTTTCACCTAGTTCTCCAAAGTAGCTAGTTAGTATGTACTCACAGTTCAACACATGGAAATAATCAAAGGCCACACTAGTGTGCAACTTCTGCTGAGACTTTCAAGTACATACTAACTATGCATATAACATATATGAAGGTATATTAATGTAACATTGCATTGGGCTAGAGTGATAGCACAGCGGGTAGGGCGTTTGCTTTGTGCATGTGGTCATCCCGGGTTCAATTACTCTGCCCCTCTCAGAGATCCCGGCAAGCTACCGAGAGTATCTCACCCACATGGCAAAGCCCGGCAAGATCCCCATGGTGTATTCAATATGCCAAGCACAGTAACAAGTCTCACAATGGAGACGTTACTGGGCCCGCTTGAGCAAATCGATGAGCAGCGGGAGGACAGTGCATGCATCTTGGAGGTGGGCACCGTTGAAAATTAATGAGCATAGGAAGCATTGTGAGAGCTCAGAAGGCTGAGTATACTAGCTCACTGATACACCTAAAGTAGCACACATTTGTTTGGTTTTAACATATTTGCTTGTGTTCTCTTATACACGGGCTTAAATGGCCCCAGAATGAAATACAGCAATCTTCACACACTTCCCTTTTATTGTGGTGGGAAGATGCTCACTGGTGGGATGGGTGTTTGAATATTATCTGTAATGAACTATTGTGAACTACTTTATGAAAATAAAATGTATAAAAATTGCAAAATTAAAAGAAAAGAAGGCTGAGTATAATATTTGCATGCCAAGTCCTGGGTTTGATTCCCAGCACCACATCATTATCTTCCCACCCCCGTCCCATGCCCAAGTACTTCTAGGTGTAAGCCCTGAACATAGAGTTAGGAGTGGCCCCTAAGTACCACTGGAGTACAGCCCCCAAACAAACAAACAAAAAAACCAGAAAGAAAAATAAGTATATGTATACACTAAGTTACGTTCACTCTTAAAAGTCTAAATCTACATGTCACCACGGAATCGTTTCAATCGACATAGCTGCCCTTACCTTACAGCAATTACTAACTGTTTTAACATAAGGCCTTACACTGTTTATCCATTATCATGTTATCTAGAGGAATACATTGACAAACAAATACAGGGCTAGAGAGACCAGCCAATGGCCTGAAGAACACGCTTTCAATGCCTTCCAGTTTGACCCGAGCACCACCTGGTCCTCTGCAAACCATTAGAAGTGAACACTGAGACCCAATAAAAAGATAGCATTATGAGCAATACTGGGTGCTCAGAACACTGAGCCCCAATAAAAAGATAGCATTGTGAGCATTACTGGGTGCCAGTTCCCCAAGACAAAACAAAACAAAATCAAACACACATACTAGACCTGAAGTTCATGTGAGGATAAGACTGATTTAGCGGAAGTGAGGTCCCAGTGATTCTCAGGAACGTGTCACATTCTGAGAGCACAGCCACACCTTCAGACCACGCAGGGCACAGGCAAAACAGCATCATGGCATCCATTCCAACCCAAAAGCATGTGATTCTCAGTCCATCCAGAGACAGCTGGCACTAAAGAATAGCTTCTCTCCAAAGAGAAAGCCTGGCAAAGGGCCCTCTGGTGTCTATCAGCGATATTTCCCCTCCCGCCACACCAGTAGTGTTTTCAGAGGCAGCGGCTACTCACTCATTGCCCCAGTCGAGGCGGGCAGTAATGTGGCGCTTCACGTCCTTCATCCGGTCATGGGTCAGATGGCCCACCAACACCTGCCGCCGCAGATCCAGGATTTCGTTCATGATGTGCCACAGCCGGTGGAAGAGATCACCTTCATTTCTCTAGGAAGAGGCAAACAGGAGACTGGTGGTCAGTCTCTGCACAGACTTGGCAAGCATAGCCCACAGAGAAAAGGGAAGGGGCGAGTCTTGTCTGCTCCCTCTTGGGTCTTGTCAGATTCTCCTACATCGTGACACTATACCATCCTCCATATCCTCAGACACAATCCCTGCTCTGCACACTTTCTTCAATTTCACAGTTTCACAAGGCTGTGCTCTTGCTCCAGAATCTCACTCTCTGGCTCTGGAGCACAGACACTGTGTGATCCAGAGTCGTGGCGACAGGCCAGCACCAAAGCTGAGCCTGATTCCTGACTTCACTCGCCCTGTGGCTCTGTACCCTCCAGGGCTCCTGTCTTTAGCTCAGACTAAACTCCCCAGACCTCCATGAGTTTGCCCAACTTCCACCTGCATCAGGAGACCTTCCCTGACATCTCCTGCCTGCTCCCCCAGCACCCTTCTCTAAAGTACATGTGATTTACATCAACTCAATGGCAAATCCTCTTTCCAGTCACGTGTGTGTGTATGTGTGTGTGTGTGTGTGTGTGTGTGTGTGTGTGTGTGCGTGTGTACAGCCAACCCAGAGGTGCTCAGTGCTTCCCTCTGGAAGTACCAGGGATTGAACAGGTGCCGTGCACATGTAAGGCAAGCCCCTTACCCCCAACACATCCTCTCTGGTCATATGCTGCTAATAAAGCTTTATTAAATTTTCTATCAGAAGTTGGGTACACAGATTGTCAAACTCACTTGTTGATGCTCTTTCGGGGGTTTATCTCCCCAGAACCTACATGGGTCTCAGGCACTTGGGCTGAAGGCTGTGGTGCTGCTGTCTGGCAGTGCTGGGGTCACCTGGGTCACCCCCTTAGTGCCTGAGAACCAGCAGGGCTACAGCTGGCAGTGCTCAGGGAGGAGCACTACAGTATCAGGGGTTGAACTAGACCCCTCACACAGGCAAGGTCTTTGGAGCCCTTTAAGCTATCAGCCCTTCCTTTAAGCTTTCCTACCCTCAGGAACGGAACTTTGACTGCTAGTTTCCAGTCAGTTTTTAGACCTTTTAAAAATGCTATTTTGTTCCAGCGAGGGAGATAGCTGAAAGCTATTGTGGCTGCAAGCGTTGTACGTAGGAGCTTAAGGTTTCATCCCCAAAACTACAAGGTCGCCCGGAACCACTGGGAGTGATGTTCAAGCAACACACTGGGACTAGTTCCTGCACCTGAAATTTACCAAGCAAGAGAGCTTAGTGGAAGGAAGATGGGTTAACTCCTGGCTTCAAGTCCAGCATTGGGCATGGACAAGTTTCACAGGATGTGAGTATAAGATTTCTTTTCTTTTTTCTTTTTTTAAAAATTTTCCTTTCCTTTCCTTTCCTTTCCTTTCCTTTCCTTTCCTTTCCTTTCCTTTCCTTTCCTTTCCTTTATTAATTGATACAGTTACAAAGCTTTGATGTTTGAGTTTCAATCTTACAATGATCAAACACCCATCCCTCTACCAGTGCACATTTTCCACCACCAATGTCCCCAGTATCCCTCCTCCCCCCACTGCCATCACCCATACCAACTCTTCCCCTGCCTCTACGGCAGACAATTTCCCCCATACTCTCTCTCTACTTTGGGGAATTATGGTTTTCAGAGTATAAGATTTCTTACCCAATAAACAAGAAAAGTATTACATTCCTAGGAGACTGTCATAGGGACTAGAGACAATGTTTGTGTTGAGAATAATATTAAATGCTGATCAAAAGCATAAACTCGAGAGACAGGGTACCTTGATATGAATGCCAACTTTGTTCTTATCTGGCTGAAAAACCTATTACAATTTATTAGCTCCTTGTATTTATTTTCTCATCTGCAGAATAAGGATCACAATAGCTATCTTATGAAGTTATAATGAGGATTACATTAAAGCTCTAAGACTAAAGCCTGGCCCTGAATTAGTGTCATTTAACTATCAGACAAATGCTAATACTGTTATTATTAGGGGTGTACTTGCCAATAATTCTTTTAAAAATATTTTATTTTTTTCTTTTTTTAAAATATTTTTAAATTTTACAAGGTAGTTGACAATATTTGATTACATTTAATATTCAAACACCAGTCCCACGACCAATACACCTTCCCACCAACAAATTTGGGATGTTTCCATCTCAAGCCCTGATCCCTGTTCGAAATAATATATAAAAATTTTGGCACAACCAAAATAATATATAAAAATATTTTCTTTCCTAACTATATTTACTACCCATGGCTTCATACTTTTTTTTCCTTGTGGAGATCTTCCCAAGCACTGCTAGGGGCCCAGCACCGCTCCTTGCTATATTCAGTGCAGCTATGTGGGCCTGAGGGTTCAATACGAGGCTTGGCCATATAGCATTTATCTAGAGAGGGTGCTGGGGTCCACTAGAATCAGCACGATAGTGTTCAGGGGTCACCAGGGACTTGGCAGTACTCTGAAGATCGTATGGTTCCGGAGATCAAACTTGTGGCCTTCACATGCAAGGCATGAGAACTATTTCCCTGCCAACTCTTCATCTTAACTAGAAGCAATGCTTTTAATTCTCTTCAAACTTTTATTAGCACACTACATGTAGAGTGGTATAAAAAGAACCAAGATTATCCTTAATTGAAAGCAGTTTTCAACTCTTTTTTCTATACTGGTGCTGTTTTGACCTTAGCCTGTGGCCCCCCATGCTACTGCTGGACCCCCTAGTATCGTGCCCTGATTTCCAATTATGTTTCTCACCTGTAGCCTTCTTTGAAAACACTGATCTAAAGTTCTCTACAGGGATAAATTTTCCAGAAATATCAAGTTCTACCTAATGGCCACTGAATCATATACTTTTTAAATGTTATCTTATATATTCACAAGGCAGTGCCTGGCAAGCTCCCCGTGGTGATATGCCCAAAACAGTAACAATAACGGTCTCATTCCCCAGATCCTGAAAGAGCCTCCAATGTGGCACCGTTGGGAAGGACAAGTAAGGAGAGGCTGCTAAAATCTCAGGGCTGGGACAAATGGAGATGTTACTGGTGTCCACTCGAGCAAAGAAATTCAGTAAGAAATATATTAAATAAGACAGATTTCATGTCATAAAGGACAGAGATAGCTCCCTCTTGACATACTGCAAGGGAACATCACCTGCCCCATGGTTGGGGCTGCTATTCTGGACTTCCAGCGGGAAAGGTTTCATTTCATCTGATCTCACCTCTAGTACTTATATTTAACAGAATTCTGGATATAAAATTGAAATCAAATGGACAAAAGAAACAAGCTGTTCACCTTTTCTTTAGCGAAGGCGGCAGGGACACTGACATCTGCCGCCTAATAGGACCCCTGTGCTGGATTCTATAATAGTGATACCTGACTTGACTGCTAGTGAAAATAATGGTTTCTTTTTTTAAGCTGGATTTTAAATACTAGGGCTGGGAAGATAAGTGCAAGTTGGTATAATACATGCCTAGTGTTCATGAGACTGTGAGTATGATGCCTAACACCACCTGGACCCCTGAGCACTGCTGGGTATACTAGTGCTGATGGTAGCTCTGTAACATCACTGGGGTGACCTATATTGAACTCTCATACAATATTAAATACTAGACATAAGACCCCCCCAAATTTCTGCAATATGTCAGAAACATAGCAAAAGTTTCGCTATACTTTGATGTTTTAGAGAATGGGTAAGATTTCCTTTGCTTCAGAATGAAAACAGCATAGGTTTTGGAGTAGTAGACTTAGACTTAGTGGATTTATATTTGACCACATAAGCATGGTGCAGTGGATAGACTATCACTAAAGTATTGGACAGTAAGTGCTACTCAGTGGAGTACCTGGGAAGAGAGACTTAAAATAATCAGCAAAAGGTCTTCATACAAGTATTCATTAGAAAATGGCCGCTGCATTCTATTCTAATTTTTGCGGTAAGATTACTATTATTTTACAAAGTAGCACTTTAAAGAACATTATTTGTGATCATGTCAATGACACTGAAAAGAACAGCTAACATTTCTCAAGCATTTACCCTATGCTTTTATGCTATTTCTTTATCTCTATGGATAGGCAGCCTTATATATTGTACCCAGTGTCCAGATACTGCTTTCATCAAATATCTTCCAGTAAATAAACTAAATATTTAAAACCAAACCACTGGTAAAGAACCTGATATACCAGGCATCATGAACTTAAACAAATGCAATCAATACGAAGAGATTATATCAGAAAGTAAGAGAAAACAAAATCCCATATAGCCTAGTCAGCTTCATTCTTGAGGTCCAAAGTCTGCTATCTACAGGTTAAATATTATATTTATTCCTAAAATAGCTAAATACCATTCTAGTATCTAGGGAAATTTTAAATAATTCCCTGTCTCCATTACTCAGGACACTAGGGGGTAGAGAGGTTACTCTTAGAGCTTACAACACATAAAGTTTCAAACAAGCAATATGTCCCCAAAATAGATGTTCACAACCTTAAAAGCAGATGAAAATAGCTGGACCAGGCAGAATCAAGAGGAAGTTCAACTTTGTTCTGAGAAATAGCTACATAAAAGGAAAAGTGTTGGATCTTTTGCTCAACAACAGCCATTATTTTTATAACTTTTACGTTGGGTAAAAGGTTCAGCATCCACCTGAACATTTCAAATAGCTTTATTTTCCATGTTAATGTTATGAATACCATTATTTTAAGTGAAATAACATTGGTATTTTATATTCTTTCTAGCATATTTTTTTCTAGCATAACTTTTTAAATCAAAAAGCAAATTTGCATTTCTTTTGTAAATTCCTAGTACAAACCCCTTGAGTTTAATCACCTTGACTTTGCATTTACCTCAGTCAGCTGTTACTCTGGTTTTGCCTCTAAGATTACCCTGTGTATAAACAAACTAACTTCTCTTTAAAAATTTAAAATATTCAGAAAGCCTAACCCCAGTTCATTTAGATATCAGAAAAATCACCTTTTATGTTAATGCAGCATTGGAAAAGAACTTATATGACCCATACTCAATAGACATTGGGATCATAAGACTATGCCTTATAAAGCTCATGTGTCCTCAGTACCCTTGTTCCAATACTTAAATCAATTCTCTACCCCCAAATTCATGCCATTAAAAGGTTATTTACCACATAGAGTTGTTTCCACATGGCTCCCCAGTCTCTTAATGTTGATGTCATTTCTGTGATAACAGAATCTTCCGTGGGAATAACCATTTCAAATTGTCTGTGAAATTAAAACAGAATAACAAAGTCTATATGCAAATATCATATACAACAGTTTTCTTTGAGATACCCTAAAAGCGAGACCTGGATAGGAAGCCACTAAGTTATTTTTGGTTCGGCAAACAGTAACCAGTTTTTGATTAATGAAGCACTATGAGGAATGTGGGTTAGGGCAATTTCATACTACTTCATCCAGATGAAATTGAGCAGTATGACAGAGAAGCAACAATTACAGAAGCATTCTACTCTGGTCACAATCTGACCACTAAACATCAATTCATTTAAACTTTTTTTTTTTTTGTGCTTTTTGGGTCATACCCGGCGATGCACAGGGGTTACTCCTGGCTCTGCACTCAGGAATCAGCCCTGGTGGTGCTCAGAGGACTATATGGGATTCTGGGAATCGAACCCGGGTTGGCCATGTGCAAGGCAAACACCCTACCCACTGTGCTATTGCTCCAGCCCCCCACATTTAAACTTTTGAAGAACAAAAGCCCTAATGTGTAATATAATATCACCCAGCTTGCATAAACTGCAAACTTCTCTTTTTAAGCACTAAGGACACAGAACTTAAAGAGAATGACAGACTTGTCCAATGACCGCAGTATCACAGCTGCCAACATCCAAATTCAGTGTCATACATAACTAGATGAAGAAGTACTGATCAAATGCTCATTAGATTTCATTAAAATTCCATTTTTATTATTTGCAAACAATGCCCTGTAAAGTGATTAGTAATGCTATGCATCATAGAACTTATTAAGAAGTTAACACTTTGCAGACAATTGAATAGTTATTGTAAACTGTTCCTGTGATTGGTGTAATATATACTATTTCATCTCTAAAAGTATAAAAACTATTTGGAAAATGTTCAAACCAGGATCTTGTAAGATTTTTGGTGATCCTAATGTTGAGAAGATATATAAGAAAATGGGGGTGGGGAATTTATACAACCTACTTTCAACAGAGAATATGCATATCTTTTTTTGAATTCTCTCAGTTTTTAAACAAGTTCAAAATGGCTAAGCACTAGGACACCCAAGGACAATAGAGAAAAGGGCCAGGAGGATTGCTCCATGACTTGGAAGCCAGCCTCACTTGCTGGGGAAAAGGCAGCTGGGATAGAGAAGGGACCACTAAGTGAATGAAGCTTTGAGGGCTCTCTTGGGATGGGAGATACGTGCTGAAATTAGACTATAGACCAAACATGATGGTCACTTACTACCTGTATTGCAAACCATAACACCAAAAAGGAGAGAGAGAGAATAAAAGGGAATGTGTCTGCCACAGAGGTGGGGGCGGGAAGAATGGGGGGAGGGACATTGGGAACACTGGTGGTGGAGCATGGGCACTGGTGGAAGGATGGGTACTTGATCACTGTATGACTGAAACCATTGTAATCATGAAAGTTTGTAGGCCTGTAACTGTACCTCATGGTGATTGATTTAAAAAAATTTTTAAAAGGTATTATCATTATTACTGTATTAAAAAAAAGTAGTATCATTATTACTGTTTCTCAAAACAATCCTTCTAATTACATGGATAAGAACTATTCATTCAAATTCAAATATGTACATATTTAAAGACAACAACTATTATACAGATAGTAACAACTATTAGACACTAAAGATCAAAGGAAATTACTTCTTAGCATGAGGTTAATAACTATTCTACAGTTCTTTTTTTGATACTTTGTCCAAAGTGTATATACTTGTCTTTTGTCTTCTAGGGTGGGAGAACAGTGCTTAGGGCCTTTGCCTTGCACTTGGCCAACTGGGGCGACCCGTGTTCGACTCCTCAGCCTCTCTCGAAGGGCTCTGCAAACTACTGAGGGTGTCTCACCCACACAGCAAAGACTGGCAAGCTCCCAGTCGCATATTCGATATGCCAAACACAGTAACAAGTCTCACAATGGAGACGTTACTGGGCCCACTCAAGCTAATTGATGAACAATGGGAGGACAGTGGACAGTGGACAGTAGATTTGTCTTCTTGACAACAACTATAGTTACTAAAATCCTTCCCTTGATTTTTCACCAATGGAGTTGCATCTCCTCATTTCATACTGCTGCAAAAATATTTCCCTTGTGAATACCACCCTCCTTTCTAGAGCTAAAACATAGTTTAAAATGTACAACTAGGATTTAAAACTAGAAATAAAAATAAGCAGTAATTTTTCTTTTGAAGCAGCTGTTTACAGTTAGTGATGAATATTTGCCTAAAAGGATTCTAAAATGATCTGATGCAAGGTCAAGGAGGAAAAAAAAGAATTTACTAGAAAACAAGCGTCTTAACATTTTGAAAGTAAAAAGAAAAGTAGCATGACCTCTGTAGGAATTAAACAATAGAGAATGACTAAACCTTTGCAAACTATGATTTAACTTAAGGGCCTCCATTAGGAGGTCTGAAGACCCATGAGAAAAAGAAAGGTAATTTAGCCTGTGGGAAGTTGATTTGGGTTAATTCACCAAAATGTAAATTTTTAAGAAGTACAAAATTTCCATTTTAGATGATGCAGATGTTTTCTCTTAATTATACCAAAACCAAAATTAATGTGCAAATAGTCTATCACAAGTAGTTAGTTACCCCTGAAATCATATTTTGCTCCATTATTCTGAGATATACTTTGCAATTAGTCATACTGGTGGGCCATGGGCCTACTAGTCCCCATAAAATAAGATTCAACATTAATATTCTAACAAGTTTCCTCACTGGAAAAGCAGTCACCTAGCTCTATAAATTCACAAAAGTTTTGAAGCTCATTTTTTCTTCCAGGTAATAATTAGAGAAAATAAAGCCCTGAGCAATTCTAACAATTTCTCAGTTTAGATCTTAAGATTTTTGTTCTATCCCTAAATTGTTTTAATGTTCAGCAAGTCTGTGTCAGGTGGAGAATGTGAACAAAATCTCAAACTTTAACATCAAAAAGTCTGACATGTCTTTATCCATATGTCACATCCCCAAACTAAGAATAAAAAGGGCCATATATTTACTGGTTACCGATGTAAGCAAAAATAAAATAAGGGAAAGAAGATGCTTATGTTAATGAAAATGTTGGTGTTGGTTGCCCAGACTGATCTGCTTTAAGAAGTATCACTTTCAGGCTCACAGCTATAGTATAGCAGGCAGGTGCTCCCCTTGCACACAGCTATGACAAGTTTAATCCTCAGCACCCAAGCCTGTCAGGAGTGTTCCTTGAATGCAGAGCCAGGAGTAAGCCCTGATCGCCACTTCCCCCACCGCCCACCCCCTCCCTAAGAAGGAAGGAATGAAGGAAGGAGAGAGGGAGAGAGGGGAGGATGGGGGGGAGGAAGGAAGGAAGGAAGGAAGGAAGGAAGGAAGGAAGGAAGGAAGGAAGGAAGGAAGGTTGGTTTTTATTGGGTGGAGCTATGCTTGACATCAAATTTACCCACATTCGTTTTTCCCTTCCTCAGTCAGTGTAAGATGGAGGCTAGGTAGTTTTAGCTCTAGAGAAACGAGGGGCTAGGGTTGAGCTTAGGGCAAAGAGAGCAGGGAGGACTGACTGACTGGATCTGCCTAGGGGACACTTCAAGGGTCAGGACAGAGAACATGGAACTCTACATTGCTTTACACAGCTCACTGAGGCAGAAGGGCCAGAACAAAGAGCACCTGGCTGAACTATTTTCTGGGGTGTCTTCAGATTTACTTTAAGGGAGCTGAAGAGAACAAATTAGTTTTGTGGGGAAACTCCAAAAGAACTAATAACTCCCTAATTCACTTCTGATAAATTAGAACTGCATAACATTCCTGAAGGGCACCCAGTTTGAGAGTGTGGATGTGGATATGTGTGTATGTGTGCGGGGGGGGGGGGGGGGTTGGAGGAGGCAGTGACATCTGGCTCTATTCTAAGGAACGATACATAGAGGTGCTAGGGTTCGAACCACTGTTGCAGCTAAAACCACACACAAAGTGACTGTTTAACCTTTGAACTATCTCTCCAGCCCAATTACTAAAAGATTTAAAGCAGGGACAAGAGGACAGGTCAGGCATAGGGTGTGCACCATGCTTACTCCGACCTGGCTCCAGCACTTGAGACTTCCTGAACAGTGCTCGGTGAAGTCCTGGAGGCCCCAAAACCTGCCAGGGTGGCACTGGAGGTCCCTGGCGCTGCTCAGGCAGGTCTGGGTCCTCAAATATAGCGCCACTAGCTTAGGATGACTGGCAGAGTATAGCCAGCAGTGGCCCGAGGGACCCTTAAGCACAACTTGGAAGGTCCCAATATAAATAAACAAATATGAGCAGATGTAGTGAGGGCCAAGAGGGATGAGAGATAGTATGGCAGGTAGGGAGCTTGCCTTGCATGCCACTGACCTGGGTTCCATCCCTGGCACCCCAAGGACCCTGAGCACCACTAGAAGTGAACCCTGCACAAAGCCAGGCATACACCCAAAACAAAACAAGTAAAAGCAGAAATAATTATTAGTCATCAGAATTCTTAAGGTTTTAATCAATTCTAAACATTATTACTATTAATAATATTGCCTGGGCCAGAGCAATAGCACAGTGGGTAGGGCATTTGCCTTGCATGCGGCTGACCTGAGTTCGATTTCTCTGACCCTCTCAGAGAGCCCGGCGAGATACTGAGAGTATTCTGTCCACACAGCAGAGCCTGGCAACCTACCCATGATATATTCGATATGCCAAAAACTGTAACAAGTCTCACAATGAAAATGTTACTGGTGCCCACTCAAGCAAATCAATGAACAATGGGAGGACAGTGCTACAGTGCTAATAATATTGCCTAAAACTACTACTAATAATTTAGATCCCATATATAAGACATATAAAGATTCCCATGACTCTGGGTTTTAATTCTCTGTCTATATCTAAATATAAGCAGTATTTTCTTCCTGCACGGCAGAGCCTGGCATGCTACCCGTGGCATATTCGATATGTCAAAGCCAGTAACAATAACGGGCCTCATTCCTCTCACCCTGAAAAAGCCTCCAATATGACAGCATTGGGAAAGACTAGTAAGGAGAGGCTGCTAAAATCTCAGGGTTGGGACGAATGGAGACATTACTGGCACCTGCTCTGGCAAATCCATGAACAATGGGACGACGGTGATACAGTGAAATACAAGGAACACTCAGGGAATTTATGTCATGGACTCCAAGTCCGTTGCATATGTTATTTCACTACAATCTATACAAGAGAGGATGTAACAACCACTGGATATCTGCCATTGATCATAAGAATCAGTCATTGATTGTAAGCATCAGCCATTTGGACATCTAGTAGAACACCTATAATCTCAAGGTGGGGGAAAGTCTACTAAAACTGAAGAGGCTATCAAAAGAAGGGAATCTTTATACACTCTGCTGAGAATGTAAATGGGTACAACCATTATGTAAAGCAGTATGGAGAATTCTGGAAAAAAGTTAAATAGAAATTCCATACAACTTATTTATCCAACTTTTGGGTATTTATCAAAAAATGAATAAAAATGAACTTGACGACCTATATGGACTAACATATTTGCTAACGCAATATTCATAACAGCCAAGAGCTAGAAACAATCTAAGGGGTCATTGACCAAAAAGCAGATCTTGAACATGTGGTATATATAAACAATATAATATAGTTATTTATAACTATTATTTATATAACTATTATAAAATAGTTATTTACAATGAAATCTTGCAATAAAGATGAAATCTTTCCATTTGAAACGACATGGGCAACCCTAGAGAATATTTAAGTCAAATGAAATAGGTCAACAAAAGAAAGAGAACACATAACTTCACTCATAAGTGGTATATAGGGAAAACCAGCAGATGAGTTAAATAAAACAAAATAAAACAAAACAAAACTTTTGAAGGCCAGCTAATGCTTGGTTACCCAAAGGCAAGGGAGAACATGGGGATGGAGGTAGGCAGGCAGAGGTGGTCCTGGAGAGATACAAATTAGGACAAGTTGATTTCTATGACGCAGCTGAAACCTCTGCTATAATGTAATGATATCTTAATAAACAAAAAGAATCATCCAACTGAATAGCATCTTCAGAAAGTAGCACTGCACTGTAGCACTGTCCTCCCGTCGTTTATCCATTTGCTCCCCCGGGCACCAGTAACATCTCCATTGTGAGACTTGTTACTGTTTTTGGCATATCGAATATGCCAGCCTCTGCCGTGCGGGCGGGATACTCTTGGTAGCTTGCCGGGCTCTCCAAGAGGGACGAAGGAATCAAACCCGGGTTGGCCACATGCAAGGCAAATGCCCTACCTGCTAAATTCAGATTTGAAAGTATTCCTGACTGTGCCTTAAAAATAAGCTTTAGGGGCTGGAGAGATTGTATAGTGGGCAAGGAGCTTGCTTTGCACGCGGACATGTAGACTCGATTCCTGGCACTCCATATGGCCCCTAGAGGTTTGACAGGAGTAAGCTATTGGGTGGAGCCCCAAATCCCCCCAAAATAATAATAAGCCTTAACAGTTCAAGTAAACTATTAGTTTTTGCTATTGAGGAAAAATGCAATTTCTACAGCTAAATCTGTATTACTTCTTTCCTTTTCTTTTGTTTTAGAGGAATCATACAATGCTGAGGATGGAAATTGGCATGCAAAGAATATGCTCAAACCTTTGAGTCATGTTTCCTGTCCTCTGGATTCTTTCCTTTAATCCATAAAATGAAAATTATCCAGTCATGTACTGCATACTCCTTGTGACATGGTGCCAACTATCTGGATCCAAATCTAGGGCCCAGTTATAGATGTACATGGCTAAAAGTTAGTTCTGTAAACAAGGAGGTTCTACTGTCTCATCCTGTGTTATATTACTTGAAGAATTTGTTATCTAGAGAGCTGCTTCAAATGCATTTGGAAACAGACTGGATAAGATATTTTTAAAGCTTTATATGTAAGAATATTGTTAGGATGCCCAGTCCTAACAGTATAAGAAATACCAGGTCAGTGGCTGGAGCTGTAGCACAGCAGGAGGGTGTTTGCCGAGCTGGGTTCAATTCCCAGCATCCCATTTGGTCCCCGAGCACCACCAGGAGTAATTCCTGAGTGCAGAGCCAGAAGTGACCCTGAACAACATGGGGTGTGACCCAAAAAGCAAAAAAAAAATACCATAACATCTATGAGTTTAGTGAAAAGAACACCATTGAAAGGTGTTCTATAGAGCAGGAAAAAGGCTTTGTAAATTGGTCCCATAGGATATAGCATTCTCTTCAATGTAAACAGACAGATTTAGATGCTTACAATTAGCAACGGCTCTAGGAAATTTCTGGAGTTGGAGACACATTCAATAAGTGTGGCTGCCAGGCTTCCCTAACAGCAAGAAACCCAAAAGGGGCAACTCCTACTAAGGTTAGGCTAAAGTCCCAATTTCTAGACAATGAGAACTCTCCAGCAACTTAGATCCTGTAGTTGTCCAGCACACACAGACAAGACTCTTTCATTCTTGCCGCCAAATACCTTGGAGTGCAGCATCTTTATCAAAAGACAGACAATGGCATGATCTGCTTTGGCTCCAGCTTCAAGAAAATTATACTAAAGCTACTAAGCCTTTTCATATTCTACAGTAAGCAATGTTTCTGTGAAAATCTTCCAACTATTAATAACATTCATTTCTTACCCTTTGTTCTTTACACAGGCATTTTTTAAGTGAATGAAGCTGGAAGGAAATATACCCTGAAAGAGAAAACATGAAGGTTATGAGGTTATGATGGCAGGGGAGGTTTTATAAACATAAAAGGCAGTCACACAACCATAATAATACCAGGAACAGGGGAAAATGCCTTTACTGCATGCTAGTGCTTAAAACCAGTTGTAGTTTGGATAGATGCCTCTGCTTGCTACAGTTCATATTATGTCTATATATTAAGATATATTCTAAAATAAGCACAATAAAATATAAAATCTTGCTCCTAAAAAATATGGTTTAGTACAGAAAACTTTTTAAAATTCCATGACCTGTAATAGGGAGAAAGTAAAATAAGAATTTTTTTTTACATACTGTTTTTTAAAAAAAGTTTTGTTTTGTAGCTATTCTTTATTTCTCTCAAAAAAATCGTATGCTTACTTTAAATTTTACACTAAAAATACCACTATGAATTTTGGGATAATATGGGTATTCTAAATCATGGAAGATTTCTGATGAAACTAGCACAATAAATCACCACATTGCCTTTCTGATGAAACAGGAATTAAACAAAAGATGTGCTAGCTTAAGCTCTTTATTGTAGATAAAAGAAAAGGCAACAAAATTGTTCTTTATTGTTAATAGGAAATTGAAAGAAACAACATTAAAAAATTAGCATCAATTTTATTGTCTACTAAATTACAATACCCTCAGAATAATTTTTCATGTTGAACCAACAGAAAAATTCAATTAAACATTTAGGAAAACAAAGTCATCTGAATATATTATTGCTATTGTGAATTCTATGGTAACCTAAAATTTAATAAGAAAATTCTGAATATACAAAAATAAGTAGGAATATAGGTTAAAAAACTCTTCCTCCCACATTTTACTTTATTTCTATATAATATGAATAAGAAATACAGCAATTATAATAAGATAAAATCAGAACAGTTGTTTGGCAGAAGAATAAAAATCTAATAACAAGTCACATTAAATTTTTTTTTCAAATAAACTCTCAAATAAATAAACACTGAAACTACATTTACATGTGCTGTGAGATGTCCAAAAATATATTAAATGAGAACAAAATTATTTAAAAAATTGAATTTGTCTATTTTTTTATCCCTCAGATTCTCTCTCTCTCTCTCTTTTTTTTTTTTTGCTTTTTGGGTTACACCCGGCGATGTACAGGGGTTACTCCTGGCTCTGCACTCAGAAGTTAATCCTGCCGGTGCTCAGGGGACCATATGGGATGCTGGGAATTGAACTCCGGTCGGCTGCGTGCAAAGCAAACGCCCTACCCGCTGTGCTATCTCTCTAGCCTCCCTCAGGTTCTCTTCTAAAGTGACCTAAACTAAATTTAATTAATTAACTAAACACAGTTGGATGATTCAGAAAAATATATATCTAAAGAGAATATGGTCGGGGGCTGGAGCGATAGTACAGCCGGTAGGGCGTTTGTCTCGCATGCGGCAGACCCGGGTTCGATTCCCAGCATCCCATATGGTCCCCTGACCACTGCCAGGAGTAATTCCTGAATGCCGAGCCAGGAGTAACACCTGTGTATCGCCGGGTGTGACCCAAAAAGCAAAAAAAAAAAAAAAATGAAGAGAATATGGTCGAAAGAGTTTAGTTACTTCTAATCTTGAAATGAGAAAAGACATTATTTCTTATTTACAGTCCTAAATCAGAACTAAACCAAAAAAACAAAAACTAGCCTATATGAAGATATTAGAGAATATCAAAAGTATAGGTAAACAATACCCAATAAGAGAGAGAGAACAAAAGGGAATGCCCTGCCACAGAGGCAGGGTGGGAGGGATACTGGGATCCGTGGCGGTGGGAAATCGGCACTGGTGGAAGGATGGGTATTTGATCACTGTATAATTGAAACCCAAGCACAATTTTTGTAAGTCTACAACTGTACCTCATGATGTCTCACCAAGAAAAAAAAGTATCGGTAAAAGTTGAGCAGAATAAAGTAGAAAAACACAAGTATTTTGTGGTATACAGAATAACAGGATGAGGAAATGTAATATAGTAAAGGGCATGGATGCTAATGTTGCCTTGACTATCAGCCTTGACTCCAAATTATAGGGAAAGAAGCACAGAGAAGGAAAGAAATTAAGGGGGAAGATCAGAAAGGGAAGTAACAGGAAACAAGGGTCACAGGTCTTGGTTCCACTGGTGATGTGGGAGTATGGTATGACTGCATCTCCAAAGCACAGACTCAACAACTCGAAAAACATGAGATTGAAAAGGAACATTAAAATGTGCCTGTTAGGGCTGGAGCGATGGCACAGCATGTAGGGCATTTGCCTTGCATGGGGCTGACCCGGGTTCGAGTCCCAGCATCCCATATGGTCCCCCAAGAATCGCCAATAGTAATTCCCGAGTGCATGAGCCAGGAGTAATCTCTGTGCAGTGTCAGGTGTGACCCAAAAACAACAATAACAAACAAAACAAAACAAAATGTACCTGTCAAGGTGGGGGGCAGTGAGGGAGGGAGGGAGGGGAATGGGAAAACATTGGTGGAGGGAAGCTGACACTGGTGGTGGGATTGGTACCGAAATATCATATGCCTAAAACCAAAAACTATCAGTTTTGCCTAAAACTATCAGTAATTTTGTATATCAGAGTTCTTTAAACAAAAAAAATTAAAAACCACAAATATTAATAAGGATCACTGTCAAAATTATAAACCATTAAAACAAAAAATAAAGCAAAATTCATATTAGTTCCTATGGTAACTCCTGAAATTTTTACAAATGTATGTACAATAATAAGACTGAAGGACTGGAGCACAGCAGGTAGGGTGTTTGCCTTGCACGTGGCTGACCCAGGTTCGATTCCTCCGACCCTTTGGAGAGACCAGCAAGCTACAGAGAGTATCCTGTCTGCGCAACAGAGCCTGGCAAGCTCCCCATGGTGTATTTGTTATGTCAAAAACAGAACAAGTCTCACAATGGAGACATTACTGGTGCCCACTCAAGAATATTGATGAACAATGGGAGGACAATGCTACAGTGCTAATAAGAGTGAAAGATTTCTGTCTGAAAGATGGGATGTTCATAATATGGTGATCTGACATTTCAGGTTCCTAAATTCAAGGAACCTTACCATACCCTAGAATAATCCTGCTTCAGGTATGAGCCGGGGGTGTGGGGGCGACTAAAACCTTATGGGAAGAGGGGTGTTTCGGTCCTCCCTTCACGCCCTACCGAGGCCACCAGTTGCCCCCCACTAGCGGCTCTCCAGCATGGCCATGACTCCAGAGCACAGAAACCAATTTCTTAACTATCTGACTTTCAGTAGAAATACTTCCAGGGTCAATAAGTAAAATAGCAGAAATCCAAAACCAACATTTAATTCTTGAACCCAGCTGTAGAAAGCAAATCACTTCACAATGCTTTTTCAGCATGTCTGATTTGGGGCGGGGGGTAAACTCTAAATAATAGTTGTGAATCTTTTAATGAAACAATGAATCTAATCAAAGCAGATAGAGTGTTAACTAGAATTCATCTGCCCCACAGGGACTGGGAGGGTGGGGGGTGGGGTCTTATTGGGGTTCTTCATGGTAAAAAATAAGTATTGGTAAAGGGAAATGTATTTGATATTTTCATGACTGAGACCTAAACCTGAAAGCTTTGTAACCTTTCCCACAGTGATTCAATAAATAAACAAATTTAAAAAAAAAATCCTGCTTCTCATACCAATATTTTACTAAAGATACCACGCAACACTTAAACTGAGGGTTTTGTTTTGTTTTGTTTTTGCAAGGGGGGGGGGAGCACACACAGTGGTTCTCAGAGATTACTCTGGGTCCTGCAATCAAAACATCACTTCTAGAGGGCTGGAGTAGAGGGCTGAAGGTAGGGATGAAGTGGCGGGGCCTTGTCACATGCGGAGCCAAGCATTGAACCTAGGTTGGTTGCATACAAGATAAACGCTCTACCTGCTATACTATTGCTCCAGACCCAGTATTTCTTTGTAGAAGATGTCCTTCCTCTGCCTAAATTTTAACTGATGTCTGTGAAAACAATACTTTAAAAAGACATCTATATAATGAGCTTATTAAGCCCTCTCAGAATTAATTTCAAAAGCTACATAGGACTCTTATTTAAATAGCATATCTTAATGATAACACAAGATCAAAGAAATTTCAAAAAAATCATGAAAATCTATGTTGTTGTTAAGTATTTTAGCAAAGATCCCAACTGCAACTTCAATTGTATAATGAAATGCTGATTTCATTTTTTTTATCCCATAATTAGTTTGAAGTAATAATTTTTACCTTGATATTTGGGTTTTTTAAGGCAAATCCTCTGTACCAGCCTGTGGAGAAATAACCATAGTCATATTTCAAAGAGCCATTGCAATCATTTAAAGGAAAAGGTTGATTACAAATAAATCTCTTCTTTTGTTATGGCTAAACTATAGCTTCACTATTGGTGAGTACTTAAAAATGATTTAATACTATATTGGAGATTTACATAAAGATAAAAATATTCACAATGAAAGGAAACACATTAAAATCAGAGCATCAGGCTTAAAAATTCTGGCTTTGCTACCTATTTGTTATTTAATCTCAGACAAGGTAACTGATCTTTTAAACACAATTACTCTCATTATATTTACCTATTCTGCATACTCTAAAGTCTGAGGGAAGTTGGGGCTGGAGCAATAGCACAGCAGGTAGGGCGTTTGCCTTGCACAGGACCAAACCAACACAAGTTTGATTCTCAGCATCTCATAAAATTCCCTGAGCATCACCAGGAGTAATTCCTGAGTGCATAAGCCAGGAGTAGCCCCTGTGCATTGCTGGGTGTGATCCAAAAAGATAAATAAAAGTCTCAAGGAAGTTTAAGAATTTATACAATATATAATTTCCAAATTCTCTTCATTTGATTGCAAAGACAGTGCAGTAAAGTGTGGGAATAAATCTGCACATCCTTCAGCCAAACATTTTGAGTTATGACCAGTCTGATAGTATAAGAAAAGTGAAGCCAGGTCTGATCCTCTAGGGAAACTGATAGGCACTCTCATTAGCACATCTAATACCTAAGTGCACCACAATTATTATTTCTTAGAACGGCTTTCACTTCACCTTCAAACTCTTCTGAATTTCGTAGCACTATTCTTAAGTGAGGAGTCATCATTCTCACAGTTTAAAGCAAGTACAAGATGACAGTTAAGATGATATCTGGTTATTACATAACTCCTATAAATGCATTATTTTTAATTATCACTGCAAATATAGAAATAATTTTGCTTACTGATAAGACATTATTTTACCATGTGATAAACACCCTCACCTTTCACCTTTGAAAAGTTGAATTTTCAAAAATATATATTCGAGTTTTTCATTTGGGTATATTTGTACCTTCTAAGTTTTCTATGACCGAGATCCAAGCACAAAAATTTGTAAATCTACAACTGTAAAAAAAAAAAATCCCGCCAAAGAATAAAAACTATGATTTATTTATTGGCCATAAGCCATATTCTCTGAGAAACTGAACTTGAAAATCTTCAAATATAGTACAAGTTTACCTCCGAAAAAAAAAAAAAGAATATATTGTAGAGCTGCAAAGATAGCACCTTGGACTAAGATGCAAAGCATGCTCTGCATGCAGAAGTTCTATGCCCAGTACCACACAGTTCCCAGAGCATTGCCAGAAATAATCTCCAGAGTCAGGAGTGGCCCACCCCAAGAATCATCTGGTGTGGCCCCCAAACAGAAATGAATACATGGCAAAATAAAGTGCCTGAAGAAATAAAAATCAGTCTGATGGAAACAAAATAGACCAAGATTGAAACTACATATCAGTGCTTATGATGAAAAGTCATTTCCAAGAAATACATTATTCTTGAAAAATTTCTAACAGCAACTAAAACATTTTTGAGAATTACAAAAAATGTTACTGAGTTATTGGAACAACCACACTAAAAATATTTTAGATTATAAAATAGCTCCAGTTGGTTATGAATCCTATTTTTATGCAACAACATAAAACAGGCTTTTTAATTTATCTGTAAACAATGTTGAACTAGATAAAATGCATCTGACAAGTACCAAGAAAACCTTATTGTATTTTTAATCATATCTATTACAGTGGGAAAATAACAGTCCATAACACCAACATTTATGGTCAAGCTCTAACCAAATGTAATATTTCAGTAAGGGATTAGACTTTAATCGATAATAAGCCTTAATATGATAAAATAGTTTGTCATATATGTCTAATCTTTAGGAAAAATGAATATTTTAAGATGTACTTATGGAGCTTTAAAATTGGATCACTTAAAGGTTGATGACATAACCCAGAACTGAGTGCAAGATTTACTGATAGGAGGCCAAAGTTCAATCCATGGAAATACATATTTGCCTGAGTATAGAGCCAGGAGTAGCCTTAAAGCAGTGCTCAGTGTGGCCCAAATAAATGTGGTCACATTTTATATTTGAGAAAGTCATTTCTACTCTGGGTCTGTTTCATGCCATCCTGGGAAACTACCAGATTCTAAGAAAGGCCTTCTGGTTTGGCACTGGGTCATGAAATCCCACAAGCATAGTGACTAAAATTGCTTTCTATTTTGGCGTTTAGTGATGTAAGGAAATACTCGGAAAAAAACCGCATGAACTTATATCAATAGATATTTTCCCATAAGCCAAACATTATTATACAAGAAATAAGATTTGTGAAAAATGGATCACTGTAACTACTAGAATAATTCTGGAGATTAAGTTGGTATGGATAAAACCTGTAAACTTTAGATTTGGCAATCCACTTCCATCACTACGAGCCTACTCACCATCACACTTTTCCAGGATCTGAACTGTGTCTCCAATTTCCAAAGACAGGCCATATGGGACGGTTCCTCGAAAACTGGCAATAACTGTAAGAAAAGACATAGAATCTATGAAAAAAATCGCTTCAGCTCATTCTACAGGTTGCTATTAAACACTACTGACCAAGAAAAATAAATACAAGAAGGAAAGAGATAATTAGAACCTGATGCTGTATTTATTTCAATCTTATATATATTTTGCAGAGTCCAATCATTAAGTTAATGTACTTTCCGACATCCTGGCTGAGAGTACTATAAACATATTTTTCAGATGTTGAATTTGCTAAATAATTGGTAAAATACCAAGAATGTAGCTCAGTAACATGCAAATAAAGATACTGTTTGCAGAGCTCCATAAGTATCTGGGTCCTCTGATTTGTCACTATATTAATTCCTTATCCCGGTCCTGAGGCTACAGTAATTAATAAATATGTGCTCAATATAAATAAAGAGCATGTTTCTTAATTGTCATTAAGCTTGGGTATCTTTCAATTATAGTGTGGAAGACAGTCTTTTCCCTAGACTGCAAGCTCTCTAAGAGAAAGGGGTGAAGCTGGTTGTTCCTTAATATTTCCCAGGATTTAGTCCCACATTAAGCCTAAAAGCAGACTTGCTATGTAGTAACCGATGCTACCATCTTATATAGTAATGATTACATTCTCAATTTGGACTATATACATACCCACCATGACTTTCACATATGCTTTAGCTCTGATAGCGTGTAGACAGGAGTGCAAGAGTGTACTTAGCCCTACCCTGTGGTTATAGAACAATAATAACAATAATTTAGAATAATAAAAAATGTGAAACATTTTGTATCTGTGAAGGGATAACATGCAATACAGAGGTAATGTGTGTATAGTCAGTCATCCCTGGGCAGTTCAAGCAGCTACAGAGAGAATGAAATGTTGTGAGTTTCCAAAGCATAATAAGAAAAGAAAGGAAAAATAATTGAAATGCACCTCAACCCCTGGAAAGAGAGGAATGATCTCCTGTTAAAGGCTTGCAAATCACATGAAATTTGACAGTAAATACGTGATTTTTAAGATGAAAGTATTATGAGTAAAACGCATAATTCTGATTCGGATAGTGAGATTTATATATAATCCCAATCTACCAAATATATTATTGCTAGTGCTGTGAATGTATCTTAAAAACAATATATAAATCTGTCAAAAGTCAAAATATACTAATAAGATATGGGCTTTTAGAGACGTTTAGAGTCATTCCATAACAGCAAAAATTAACATTAGAAATAAAAACACAGGACAAAAAAAAAAACACAAACCAAAGCACATAAAGTGGATGAAAATAACTGCATAGTAACCAAGTTAGAACATTTCATACAAGCACTAATTCATGATGTCATTTTCTAACTATAATCATAAATGCCATATGGCCTCATATTAATGTGTTAGAAGATGTTTACTCAGAAAACAATCAAGGGTCTGCATATCTTGACAGATTACTGCACATCACTTTTAGAGACCTGTTCTTGCAAAGGATCAACAACCCAACAGATGGTAGATTGATTACAATTTAAACGACTTCAAAACAAGCTTACACCCTGAATTGTTTTTCTACATCCATGAAGTTATCTTAACCTCTCACAACCCTCCTGGTTGTGAAATGCACGTAGCAGTACACTACATGCATTTCATTTCTTCACCTTCCCTTCGTGTTTCAATACACATTGTCTAGCTCATACGGTTCTGAAACTACCCTTCTCAAGTCACTAGTGCACGCTCACTGCGATCACATTCGTGTCACCTTCAGACATCTATTAGCTCCTGCATCTTTTACTGATTCTCTCATATTCTCAGCCATCCTCTTTAGAACATCCTTTCTTCGCCTTCTTTAAGAAAAGGGCTTGATATTCAGCCAGAATTCTAGTTTTAAGATCTTGTAGTATAAAGGCTGGTGTGGGAAAATTAACATGAAATTTGGCTCCATGAGTCATGGATTTGAACCTCAATTTGACCACTCATTTCTGTGATTTGGAAGGCGGGCACAAGCATCTCATAATTCCCAACATGTCAATAGGTATTGAGGCTAACAATGAAGGACTAAAAAACATAATGTCAAATGAAGTGATGCTCTAATCAGAAAATACTATTATCTCTGGTATATGCTAGTCATGTAATAAACCTCTCATTAATTAAACTGTGCTTTTCATTTCTATCTATCTACACTCTCCCTTTTTGGAAAGAGTTCCACCAAGACTTTCAATAAGTGACCATGATTCTTCACCTATTAACTTGCCATTCCTCTTGATTCCTGACTTGTCTAATACAAACTTCCAATTGATGCTATATCAGTTCAGATGTCTAACAGCCGAATGTAACCAATGCCATCGCCAAACATATTATCTCCTCTAATTTTGAAAACAAACCTGTTATTTTCCTTCTTCCCATAACCCACCTTTTACTAAATATAGTAGACTAAAATATTAGTCTTCTTCTAGTTCTCCTTCTTCCATTCACTGACTGGAAGACAGAAACCCAGGGGTCACTCACATCAACTGCATCCACATCTCAAACTACATAGTCAATCTATCTCCAGAGCACATCTAAAAGGTCTTCCAAGGCCATCCAATTCTCAGCATCTGCTCCCCCACAGTACTGCCACCTTTCTCTTGCCTGGACTTTCCTAGAAGTCTCCCAAGAGGGCTATTTCATCTTCCTGTTCAGTATATCAAAGCACCAAGAAAAATGTAAAACTCAGTACTGCAGCCTGTATGGTTTTTGCTCTTCTGTCTGATTTTATGTTCTAAGTCTCAACCCTGACTTCTTATCATCTGCACATAAAGACCTTTTTATTATACCTTCCTCACTCCCACACAGAACATGGTCATGAATGACCCCTTAGAAGACATGCTATCCTTTCCCACCTTGGCAGGTTAAACCAAATTCTTCTTATAAATAAGAGTTCAATGGGCCTTTCTTGGGACAGCCTTCCTTGAAACTCATCCCTCACTCTATGACATTGTACTCAGTGCTTATGCCATGTATCACTCACACACACACACACACACACACACACACACACACACACATGCCATTGTTTACAACAGACTGAATATTAGTAGTTAGTTGATTTTCATTACCGTTGTACACCCAGTTCAGTATACAGCAAATACACACTCTGAGCTCAATAAATAATCACTGAGAAAATGAGTGAGGACATAGTCATTATTGTTAAATGTTCCAGTCTTAAACGATCAAATTCCTTTATGACTGGCAATGCTATTTTAAGAGGATACTCAAAATTCTAAGAACCAAACTATATTACCTGTGAAAACACATTCTTTCATAGGAGCCGTTTGAAATAAAGATGACAGTTTGGGTGATAACTGTGAATTATCTCATTTCTTACTCAATCTGACTATGCAGGTGAGCTCTGATTTTATTCTTTAATGGCAAAACCTGGCAAGCTACCTGTGACATATTTGATATGCCAAACACAGTAACAAGTGTCACAATGGAGACATTACTGGGCCCGCTTGAGCAGATCGATGAACAACGGGAGGACAGTGACAGTGACAACTATATAATATTTGTTAACTATTAAAACAAGCCAATAATTTTTTTAATACCCTGTACTTCATCTGCTTCCTCTCTAAGACAAAAGTGCCCACCAAGGTAAACTGAAAGGTCCCTTCCAGCCCTCAATCCTGAGGGCATAGATGAGACCATTCTGCTTAGCAGAGACATGGCATAACACATTTTAAACAACCCCGAACAAGCCTAGCTTGCGTTTTAGTCACAGTTTGATTAGTAAAAAAATGGACATTTGTTCCCACGTCACTTGATAAAGTTGAAGGGAAAGATATACTCTCTTGCGATTTTTCCGAGCTCACTTTCTAGCTAGCTACCACTCATAACATTGCTTAGTATGCTGAAATCTCAAACTCCATTTATACAGGTCACAGGGTCTTTACACATAGTGTTTCACTTTGGGGAGTAGCTTTCCCTACGCCTTCAGTGTTGGGGATGGCAAAGAAGTATTGGTTTAAGTTCTATCAAGAGTGGTTCTTTCAATTTCTTATGGCTATCCCCCCTTTTGCCCATCTTAGGATCCTAATGTAATTAATTACTCTTTTATCTGTGTCCCAAGAGCACTTTCACAAAACTTAAACTGTAAAAGGCATTGCTGTATTATTTGTGTCCTTCTTATTATCTGTGTCCTTCTACCTGAGAACAGGCTGAAGAGAATTTTTTTTTCTCTTTTTGGGTCACACTCAGCAATGCACAGGGGTTACTCCTGGCTTTGCACTCAGGAATTACCCCTGGAGGTGCTCAAAGACTGCATGGGATGCTGGGAATCAAACCCAGGTTGGCCGCATGCAAGGCAAAGGCCCTACCCACTGTGCTATTGCTCCAGCCCTGAAGAGAAATTTAAGGTAGACTTTGATCTGGCCCCTTTTAGAATGGCAAGCCAGTTTCAATCTTCCAGTTACATAATTCTACTTTGCAGACCATCAAACTCATACATGCATGCATGAATGCTTCATTATTTATGCTTCAGGTTATGAAAATAAAAGTTGGAAAGGTAAAATAGTTCCAGGCAAAAATGCCAAAGATCTTAAGACATCATCGCTCAGGTTTATTAGTGGTAGCAGGTAATGTATCTTAAACTAAGGAAAATTGGTTTAGCTGAGCACAGTTGCAAAGACAACACATTCACAAAACCTCAATTAGCATTTATATAAAAACAATTAAACTCTCCATTTAAATCCATTAAATTCTTCCAAGCGTTTTTTGCAGGAAACAAAGTTACAGCTGAAATGCAAAATTACAGCTGAAAATCCCAAGCAATAGAACAGAAAGTACCAGTGCTTGCCTTGTCAACCCTGAGCACAGAGCCAGGAGTAAGCCCTGAGCACCACTCGGTGCCCCAAAACAAAATATGTTGTTTCCCCAATTATTATAAAGAAGTTATGTCTTTATACAAAATTCCTCATTGTACCTTTCCAAGGGCATTTCCCACTAAATACTGAGGTATAATAAACATAAACAAATACTGTCTTATTTTCTTTTCCTGTTTGT